TTGAGCTCAAGAGTCAGACACTTAACAGACTGAGCACCCAGGTGTCCCATATCTACTTTTTTTTTAATGTGTTTTTTTTAGAAGATTTTATTTTATTTCTTTTTAAATTTTATTTATTTATTTTGAGAGAGTGAGAGAGAGAGCAGGAGGGGCAGAGAAGGAATCCCAAGCAGGTTCCGAGACAGCACCCAGCCTGATTCGGGGCTCAAACCCAGGAACTGCAAGATCATGACCTGAGCTGAAATCAAGAGTCTGATGCTTAACCCCTCTACTTTTTTTTAAATGCAAGTTTTTAAAAACCAAAATTATAGTAGGCATTACATACGATTTCTGCTGTCTGTGCTAGTCCCATGAATTTAAAATGGCATCTTGTCTTATTTGAACTTAACTGTTAGTGTGGTTGAGTATTTTTTGTTGTGTTTATTGACCAACTGGAATCCCAAATCTGTGAATTGCCCAGTCGTAGCACTTACTTGTTGTTTTTTTTTAATTTTTTTTTTTAACGTTTATTTATTTTTGGGACAGAGAGAGACAGAGCATGAACGGGGGAGGGGCAGAGAGAGAGGGAGACACAGAATCGGAAACAGGCTCCAGGCTCCGAGCCATCAGCCCAGAGCCTGACGCGGGGCTCGAACTCCCGGACCGCGAGATCGTGACCTGGCTGAAGTTGGATGCTTAACCGACTGCGCCACCCAAGCTGGCTGGGGAAGAAATCCCCCAGCGACCGGTTGACAGTTGCTGCCCCCGCACCCCCGATGCGGGGAGGGTGCGCGTGGGCCGGCCCACCCCCCCGCACCCTCTGTGCGGGGAGGGTGTCCGCGGTTCGGCCCCCAGCCCCTGGCCCTGGCCGGGGACTTGCCATCAGTGGTGGTCAGATGGCGAATGGCACACAGTCTTAGAGCTGAGTACGTCTGATGTTCATGGGTGGCCAAGACCCCACATGACGTTGATAGGCTGGTTGGGCAATGCCCTGATATAACAACAGGGTGTTTTACACCACTCTTTGGGTGGTCCCAAAAAGCCACCTACCAAAGTAAAGGAAGAGTGTTGGAAAATAAGTACTTTCTCACAAAGGGAGGGCTTCCCTGGGGAGGACGATGGGAGAATACGGTCCACTGTCACCACCGAGGGCCGCTAAGGCTCAAGGTGGTTCTTGACAGTCACTGAGGCCTCAGAGATGTGTTGCAGCCCCAGTAGCTGTCCCTGAATCGACCAGGCAGTGGGGCTGGCCCGGAACCAGCTGTAACGACTCCCCTCTGGCTCCTGTCTTCCCATCCCTTATGCCAAGTAGGTGACAGGGAGTAGATTTTGAACAGTGACAAGTACGGAGAGGCACCCCTGCCCAGGAAGCAGCCCTGCCAGAGGAGGCCCGCACCCCCACCGCCCACCCTGCTTGGCCACCCGTCGGTAAAGCGAACCCGAGACCGAATGCCGAAGACAAAACTGAACCACGGCATGAGAGGTGGGCAGCTCTGGAATCTGCTTCCTTAGTTTCTTCTCTTTCAAAGGTCCCAGCAGCCTTGGCCTGGGGAGAAGCAGTGGCTGCAGCCCCGGGGACCGTCAAGGACACGTCCCACAGCGCGGACTGTCCGTGCAGCAGTGGGGGGCCTGCCGGGGTTCGCCCAAGAAGAGGGGACTCACACGCTGCTGTCGGTGAGGGACAGGCTGTCGGCATCACTGGATAGGCTCTGCTGCTCACTGTCGTTGGCACTGGTGGCCGGGGCGAGGGCGTAGCCGGAGCTGACGTAGTAAGGGTTGGCAGGCTCCCGCCAGGACCCGCACCTGTGAACAGGGAGCAAAGGTCAGCAGCAGCCCAAGGACACGTGCGCAATCACCCACATCCACGGGCGAGTATCCGTGCAGATACCGATTTATGAACCGTGCATGTAAAGAATCCAGAAAACACAGCACAAGGGGCAGGTGCCTCTCTCTGTCCTGCCTCCGGCCCTTCTGCTCTTCCCAGAGGGATCGGTTAAGCCCCGGGCATCTTCCGGATCTTTGGCGTGCATTTAGGCAGACGTGTAAGTGCACACACACTTGTCACCTCGGTTTGCACTTTTATGCACGTCACTACAAATGGGACGCGCCATTCTGCTCTCGGGCCTTCTAAAGAACGCTGCTGGCAGGCTTCCTTGCCGCACAGCGGGGTGCACCTCCACCACCAGCAGCAGCGACACCGGTGCCCCTACCCCCGCTGCTTCTCCCCAGAGTCTGAGGCCACAGGAGGCCACGACCCCTTCAAGGAGCCAGCCGGGACTCTGGCGCACGAGTGTGACAAGGCTCACGGGACGCAGGCGGGAGCTGGGGGTGAAGGTGCACGTGCATCTAAGGAGGCTGCAAGCTGCCTGCCGGGTGCGGTGAAACCAGGAGTTGGATGCTCAATGGACCGAGCTCCCGGGCACTCTCGGGGCCGGTCGCACCGCAATGATTTCTGGGGGCAATGACTTCTGGGGGCCGTGCTGTTCTCCCATCAAGGTACCCCCCCCCACGCCCCGCCAGGCACCTCCTCCTCCCAGACTGCCCTCCGGTAGCGACAAGGGCCTCAGGGAAAGAGAAGACATTCTGTGATGGCTGCCGGGATATGGGGGCCTCGCAGGACCCGCCCGACTGCCGCCCCGTCAGGAGCCCCGGCCTCTCTGTCGAGCACACCACGACCCACAGTGCCCAGCATGCGCCAAGCGCGGGGACCTGGGGCGCATCACGGAGGCCCTCAGACTCCAGTGTCCTCAGTGCAGAGAGGGAGAGGAGACAGTCTCTACGGGGATGGAACCCCTGTGGACAACCATCGCCTCACCGGGCCCGATTCGTGCCACGCACAGACTCAGAAAAAGGCGCCCTAACGAGACTGGGGACCAGGCCCCTCGGTACCCTGAACACCCATCACGCAGGACGTGCAGGGCCAGGCAGCACGGCCAGAAGAGAGGCCCGACCGAAGGGGGACCAACTCCCCGGGGGCCTTGGCATCCGGTCTCAGGAGAGGTGGCACCTGAGGCCACGAAAATGAGAAAAGTGCCAGCCCGGTGGTCCTCCTATTCTGGCCAATGAGGCCACAGCACCGGATGGAGACACAGCCACCGAAGTTCTGCGCTGGCTCAGGAAACATGTGCTCCACGTCCGTCTCCAGAAAGGAGTAGGTCACCGTCCAACACCACGCAGTTTCTCTGACCCACCCATCCACAGCCGCCAAAGCCTCTGGAGAGGCCACTAACGGGTTCCAGCCAGCTGGGGGCAGGGGCAGGGCCCAAAGGCTCCTAGAACACAACATGTCCCGTCCAAGGGCTCATAGGAAGGGATGGGGACGAGGACAGAGACACCGATGCCTGTCCCTGGTCTTGTGCCTGTGTACATTTCCTTACCTAGATCATTCCTACCGTGAAGCAGACAGAATGATGGGAGTTTGCCACATCAAAACTCTTTAAGAATCATACAATTTCAGGGGCGCCTGGGTGGCTCAGTTGGTTGAGCGTCCGACTTCGGCTCAGGTCACGATCTCGCGGTCCGGGAGTTCGAGCCCCGCGTCAGGCTGTGGGCTGATGGCTCAGAGCCTGGAGCCTGCTTCCGATTCTGTGTCTTCCTCTCTCTCTGCCCCTCCCCCATTCATGCTCTCTCTCTCTCTCTCTCTCTCTCTCTCTGTCTCAAAAATAAATAAATGTTAAAAAAAAATTGAAAAAAAAATCATACAATTTCATTTTTATTACTTTAAACAATTTTTGTAAAAAGTAGGCTCTACACCCAACATGGGGCTCAAACTCATGACCTGGAGATCAAGTGCAACGACGGAGCCAGCCAGCCGTCCCACCATAAAACATTATTTTTAAATGACACTGTTATTCCTCTTCTATACTTAAAACACAAAACCACCAATATCGTCACCTTAATAACCACAGCACTGGAATCCAGATCACAGGCTAAGGGCTAAACTGTTTTTCAGTTTCCCCATTACGAGTAAGGAATATTAAACTTTGGTTACTTTCTGTAAACACTCATTTGGTCAAACGAGAAAAAAAACTCCAACTTAAAGAGGAAAAGGCATCCCGGCTTGGAAGCCCAAGCCCGCAGAGCATGCGCTCCACCCCTGCACCTGCTCACCTTTGCCCTCCCCCTACGCAAGAACCCCGTCCAGCAGGACATAGCCTTCGACTCCGATGTGTCCAAGACTGTGTGTCTTACGCCTCAGACAGGTCCCCAGCGTGCCTCCCACATGTATAAAAAAGTCCATCTTGGGGTGCCTGGGTGGCTCAGTCGGTTGAGCATCTGACTTCGGCTTGGGTCATGATCTCACAGTTCGTGAGTTGGAGCCCCTCATCGGGCTCTGTGCTGACAGCTCGGAGTCTGGAGCCGGCTTCAGATTCTTTGTGTCTCTCTCTCTCTCTCTCTCTCTCTCTCTCTCTCTCTCTGCCCCTCCCCCACTTGTGCTCTGTCTCTGTGTCTCAAAAATAAATAAATGTAAAAAAAAAAAAATTCAACAAAAAAAGTCCATCTTTAGGTGAAAAGCAAGAACAACATGGTTTAATTTTCCACAGCCTGCAGCACAGAGCCAAGCCCACTACGTACATGAGCTCTGAGTCCAGATGGCAAAGGGAAGAGAGAAGAAAGAGCCACACCAGACAGAACAGAAGAGGAAGAAGGGGTGCCTGGGGGGCTCAGTCAGTTGAGCATCTGACTTTAGCTCAGGTCATGATCTCACGGTTCCCGAGTTTGAGCCCAACGTCGGGAGTCTGCACTGACAGCTCTGAGCCTGCTTAAGATTCTCTCTCTCTCTCTCTCTCTCTCTCTCTCTCTCTCTCTGCCCCTCACCCGCTCGTTCTTTCAAAATATATAAATAAATTTTTTAAAATAATAAAAAAGAAGGGAGGAAGAGCTATCGGTTATCTTTTCCCTTTTTAAACTTGTAGACAATAAAGCTGGCTCTTGGAATCAAGACCGTTAGTGCCCTGGGCCTTCGCTGCAGGCTGACACCACAGAAAGTTCTGGCCAATGACCTGCGAGAGGAAATGTCGTGTGGGGGAGCCCATGTCTCTACAAGACAGCCAGAAACGGAGACAGGGAGAGTGTGCGTGTGCTCACACACACGCACACACACACACACACACACACACACGGGCAGAGCAAACGTAGCCAACCTCCCAGGTGCTGCGGCCAGAGAAAATGCCCACTGCTCTGTCCCTTTCGATGTTCTCAGAATAAAACCTGGACGGGCCCACATATGCCCAACCGGGAACACCCTGCCTCTGTGCTGCCTTTTCTGCTGGGATGCCGTTTGCAGGACTTGGGTTTTCCATCTTTTCATGTTTAACTTGTTATTCTGCTTTCACGTGTGTGCTGGGAAAGCTAGCCTTGTTAAGATCCAGCTGGACAATCTTTCTTCCAATCAAACAATTTGGTCCTGCTGCATCTGGTGTGACTACTAAGGGAACAGGGGTTGTCCACCACCTTGTTATCTGCTGTCTGTCCTTCTATTCCGTGTTTTTTGCTTCTTTCTTGCCTTCTTCTGGCTGTTTATTTTCCATCTCCTCTCTCTAATAAAGTAACCCTTCGGTCAGTAGTTCCTGTAAAGATCACAACACAATCCCAGGATCATGGCATCAAGCCCCGGGTCTGGACCAGAGATCCGTCCCCTGGGGACACCGGGAAATGTGGCCCGCTCCACGGAAGGCCAGGGGCCTTCCCAGGCTGGCTGCCGGCAGCCTCTCCCACTCCCAGCGCTCAGGCCAGGCGCACACCAACCCCTCGCCCATAAGGCCTTGCTCCCTGCGCTGAGCCCAGACGTGCCCCCGGAACAGGGGCAGAGGCGGTTCAACACCGACATGACGCGGCCTGCCCACCCAGAAGACAAGCTCAGATGTGTTTCGCTGTCCGGTTATGGACCGTAGAGTGTTTTTCTCCCTCCTGCCTCCTTTAACCTGGGCCCTCATCCTTACCAACACGACGTTCTCAAGAGTCCAGGCAGTTACCCTACACAACGGTTCACTATATCCTTGTGGTGACACTCACTGGGCACTCTTGGGCAGGAATGTCACAGAAGTGATGCTCAATCAAGAACACCAAGTGGGTTCGTCCCAGTACTGGTAGCAAACCAAGTGCCAGCCAATTTTTTCCACTTCATTATTTTTCTTTTGTTATCAAATAGGCAATTGCGGGGAGATACTGAGATACATACGAATTGTTACCACCCGGTGATTTTCCAACCCCTTCATTTGACCGCACACCCACAGCTGGCTGGTGTTCTACCGTAAGGAAGATGTTCTCTCCATCTGCATTTATTTACATCCGTGTGGACCTCAGATGGCTTCATCCAATGGATTACAACCCATTCATTTCTTTTCCGCTCATACTCGGCACAGCCCTGTCGGCCTAGGAACGCGCCCGCACTCTCTGGCACTCCCTGCCCCAGCACTGAGATTTTCACCAAGAAGGTGTCTGTTAACTGTGTTATCTGGATTCCCGTGGTTTTCTTTCTTTCTTTTTAAGGCTTATTTTTGAGAGAAAGGGAGAGAGAGAGAGGGAGACACTGAATCCAAAGCAGGCTCCGGGCTTGGAGCTGTCAGCACAGAGCCCGATGCGGGGCTTGAACTCAGGGACCCTGAGATCGTGATGTGAGCCAAAGTCAGATGCCTAACCGACTGAGCCCCCCAGATGTCCCCTCCCTCTCTTTTTATCATTCCATTGTCGTATGTCCCTGAGCACATGGGTTATTTTTCTTTCAGTATCTGGTTATTTTGGACAGAGGGCCAGACACTGTGTGGGAAAACCCTTCCACCGCGGCAGCCTGGGATGACACA